CATTTCTGCCACTTCCAGTTTTTTCTGGTGTCGTTTTGTCCATGTCTCTGTCTCCAGACCATACAACGTAGCTGGTCTCACCACTGTCTTGTAAACTTTTCCTTTGACATTTGCTGACACCCTTTTGTCACAAATCACTCCCGAAACTTTTCTCCATCCACTCCATCCTGCCTGGACTCTCTTCTCCACCTCTTTACCACATTCCCCATTTTCCTGGACAGTGGACCCCAAGTCCTTGAAGTCCTGCACCTTTGTGACCTCTGCTCCTTGTAGCCTCACTGTTCCACCTCCTCCCTCTCATTCACACACATGAACTCTGTCTTACTACGGCTGACTTTCATTCCTCTTCTTTCAAGTGCATACCTCCACCTCTCCAAGTTCTCTTCCACCTGTTCCCTGTTCTCACCACAGATCACAATGTCATCTGCAAACATCATCGTCCATGGGGATTCTTGCCTGACCTCATCTGTTAGTCGGTCCATCACCAGAGCAAACAAGAAGGGGCTCAGAGCTGAGCATTGATGCAATCCCACCTCCACATTGAAGCTGTCACTCCTGCAGCACATCTCACCACTGTCCTGCTGTCCTCATACATGTCCTGCTGTCCTCATACATGTCCTGCTGTCCTCATACATGTCCTGCTGTCCTCATAAGTGTCCTGCTGTCCTCATACGTGTCCTACTGTCTTCATACATGTCCTGCTGTCCTCAAACGTGTCCTGCTGTCCTCATACATGTCCTGCTGTCTTCATACATGTCCTGCTGTCCTCATACGTGTCCTGCTGTCTTCATACATGTCCTGCTGTTCGCATACATGTCCTGCTGTCTTCATACATGTCCTGTACCAGTCTAACATACTTTTCTGCTACTCCAGATTTCCTCATGCAACACCACACCTCCTCCCTCGGCACTCTGTCAGATGCTTTTTCTAAATCCACAAAGACACAATGGAGTTCTTTCTGACCCTCTCTGTTCTTCTCCATCAGCATTGTCAAAGCAAAGATGGCATCTGTGGTGCTCTTTCTTGGCATGAAACCATACTGCTGCTCACAGATAGTCACCTCTCGTCTAAGTCTTGCTTCCACAACTCTCTCTCAGATCTTCATTGTGTGGCTCATCAACTTAATTCCCCTGTAGTTGCTACAACTCTGTACATCACCCTTGTTTTTAAAAATGGCCACCAGCACACTTCTTCTCCATTCCTGAGGCATTTTCTCACCCTCATATATTCCATTGAAGTCAAAAACCTCACTGCCATCTCTCCAAGACATTTCCAAACCTCCACTGGTCATCAGGTCCTACTGCCTTTCCCTTCTTCATTCTTTTCAGAGCTTTCTGGACTTCACCCTCACTAATCTTTCCCACTTCCTGGTCCACAGTTTCTATGACCTCTACTCTTCTTTCTCTTTCATTCTCTTCATTCATTAGCTCCTCAAAGTACTCCTTCCATCTTTCCGTCACACTCTCCTCACTTGTTAGAACATTACCATTCCTATCTTTAACAAGCCTAACCTGCTGCACATCTTTTCCAGCCTGATCCCTCTGTCTCACCAATCAGTACCAGTCCTTCTCGCCCTCTTTAGTGTCCAGTCTCCCATACAACTCATCATATGCCCTCTGCTTTGCCTTAGCTACTTCCCTTTGTTCTACGTCCCATCTCCTTATATTCCTGTCTCCTCTCTTCAGTCCTCTCACTGTCATATTTCTTCTTGGCTAACCTCTTTCTTTGAACAGCTTCCTGCACTTCACTATTCCACCACCAGGTTTCCTTATCATCCATTCTCTGTCTAGATGACACACCAAGTACCTTCCTACCTGTCTCTCTAATTACTGTTGCTGTAGTAGTTCAGTCATCTGGAAGCTCTTTCTTACCACCCAGAGCCTTTAACAGCTCCTCTCTGAATTTCTCACAACATTCTTCCTTCTTCATCTTCCACCATTTGGTCTTCTTCTCTGATTTGACTCTTTTTCTCTTCTTCACAACAACAGTCATTCTACACACAACCATCTGATGCTGTCTGGCCACGCTCTCCCCTGTCACAACCTTACAGTTTCCAATCTCCCTCAGGTTTCCACTTCTACACAGAATGTAGTCGACCTGCGTACTCCTTCCTCCACTCTTATTGGTCACTCTATGCTCCTCCCTCTTTTGGAAATAGGTGTTGACTATAGCCATTTCCATTCTCTTGGCAAAATCCACCACCATCTGTCCTTCCTGGGATCTTTCCTTGACACCAAACCTACCCTTCATTTCCTCATCCTTTGTTTCCTTCACCAACATGTGCATTCAGGTCTGCTCCCATCACCACTCTCTTCTCCCTGGGAATACTCTCTATCACTTCATCCAGATCTTTACAAAATGTTCTCCTCATCACATCCAACCTGTGGAGCATAACCACTGACGATGTTTAGCATCAGACCTTCTACTTCTACCTCCAGACACATCACCCTATCTGACACTCTTTTCACCTCTACTACATTCTTTGCCAACTCCTCCTTCAGGACCACCCCTACCCATTTCTCTTTCTATCCACACCATGGTAAAACAGTATGAACCCTGCTCCAATGCTGCGAGCCTTGCTGCCCTTCCACTTGGTCTCTTGGAGACACAAAACATCTACCTTCCTTCTCAGCATCATGTCAGCCAGCTCTCTACCTTTGCCTGTCATTGTCCCCACATTTAGAGTTACAACCCTCAGTCCTACATTTTTCACTTTCCTCTTCTCCCTCTGTCTCCGACAAGTTTCCCTCCTCGTGGTCTTCGACTAACAGTAGCACAATTTCCGCTGGCACCCTGTTTGTCAACAGCACTGGTGGAGGTCGTTGTTAACCCGGGCCTTGACCGATCCGTATGGTTTCACTTTGATGAACTCGCATTATAGTTTTGTCAAAAGTGTTTTACATCAGATGCCATTCCTGACACACCCCTCACCATTTACCAGGGCTTGGGACTGGCACAAGAGATACACTGGCTTGTGCTCTCTAGTGGCTGGTTTATGAGCTGGAAGCCCAAATTATGTTTAAAATAAACAAATACATATTTGAAATAGTTTAAATTGTGGGCCCTGCGTCTATGATCTATTAAAGATGAACTTTTTGAATGGAATTATGAAAGTTAAACAACTTTTCCATGATATTCTAATGTTTTGAAAAGGGTTTGTACATGAACGCTCCTACAAGAACCCTGCAGATGTTGGATGCTGCAGATGTTGGATGCTGTCTATCATGGTGCACTAAGATTCAGAACTGGCTGTAACTACCGTACCCACCATTGCACCCAGTATTCACTGGTTAACTGGTCACCATTAACTTCACACAGACTCTCCCACTGGTACATTTTCATCTTTAAATCACTTCCTGGTCTGCTGCCTTCATACATCTCCTCCTACATGTCTCTGTGTGAGTGCAGCTACAGCGTGCGCTCTCAGGACATCATTACCTGCAGTGTTCCCTCAGTGAGGACTGAACTAGACAAAAGGACCTTCTCCTACTCCGCTCCTGTTTCCTGGAATATCTTGTAAAAAGATTTGAAGCTCTCGACCTTTGACCTCTCTAAGTGGCTTCAAACATCTGATAAGTTCCTGCAGATGTTCCTGTTTTTAGTTTTCTACACCGTCTTATAATCTAGATGTTTTTGCTACTATTCCTCTGTCCTTTTGGTTGCTATTTTGCTTTGATTGTTTTGATTTGTAAAAAAAGAAAAAAGAGAAATTTAAATTTGACTCATTGGGATGAACCTGTAGAAATAAAGGTTGAATGAATGCAGCAGACCCCCCCCCCCCCCCCCCCCACACACCCACACACACACACACACTCAGACACACGTTGTGATCCGGGTGTTGGTCAGGCTGTTATTTTGACAGGACAGGAGTTTTACCTGCTCAGCAGCTCCGGGTCTGCTCTGTCCCCCTCCTCATGTTCCTTCTGAGATCCAACACACAGGAAACCCAGCAAAACGTCCAGAACCTGTCCAGGATCAGGTGCAGATTCAGCAACACAACCTGGTGTGGATCATGATGAAGGACCTGGAGATGACTGCAGAGGGGGCGGGGCCTGGGGGCGGAGCCTCCATGAGTGTTTCTTATTTTTTTTATTCAACCTTTATTTCTACAGGTTAATGAGCCTCGGGGAGTCATTTCAAGAGAGACCTGATTTTAACAAAGAGTGATGGCAACAGTGGACAGTCATAAAGGAAGCGTCCTGAGAATAACAAGTGAAAATAAAACGGTATTTAAAAAAAGTTACAAAAAAACAGCTAGGTTGTAAGGCATGTAGAAAACTCAAACCAGGAACATGTGTGCAGGATCCGCAGGATCTGTTGTGATCCGCAGCCTGAAGCTGGATCACATTCAGAACCGATAAATATTGATAAACCACCTCAGGTCAACAACATTTCACTTCTCGCCCATCAGCTGATCAAACGAAGGATTGTTGTTGTTTGTTTGTTTATTCCGAGTTTTTCTCTGAAATAAAAACAGCTGATTTTATTTATTTATGAACGAACGGACAAAAAAAAAGAAAAAAAAAAAAGATCTGTCTGCTGCACCTGCAACCTCATGACGTCTACTGCAGCTAACGCTGTGGCAGCAGGGTTGGTTGCTATGGTAACATGGAAGACCGCTCGTGAAAGAAAAAAATAAATAAAAACATTGTGACAAACATTCTGTACATTAAATTCAATGTTAATAAGTTTATATTGTGATCGGTGGTTATACGAAAAGCGTTTTAAATTTTATCAGGACGAAACTACATAAACCAGAATGCAACGCTGCGACAGTCAGCCAATCAGAGCAGCGGCAGCATGCTCGGCCAATCAGTGACAAGCGCGAGCTTTCAAATTTCAAACAGGAAACGAAATTTGGACGCGAGAAATGTTTGGGATTCCACGAACTCTTCTCTAAAGCTTTTTCACTTTTTTCTCCTGAGTTAAGATTTCTGAGACTTTCAGCGACAATTTTTTTTTTTTTACCTCCGAGCAAATAATTGCTTATTCGCGGAAAGAGGAAAAGACGGAAAAACAACATGTCGGATTCAATTCAGAACCGCTGTGAGTCAAAAACTAGTTTTACTGTAATCCTGACTCTGTGTTCACACACAGCTGTAAACTGGTTTTAATCCTGAATCGGTGTTCACACACAGCTGTAAACTGGTTTTAATCCTGAATCTGTGTTCACACACAGCTGTAAACTGGTTTTAATCCTGACTCTTAGTGTTCACACACAGCTGTAAACTGGTTTTAATCCTGACTTTTAGTGTTCACACACAGCTGTAAACTGGTTTTAATCCTGACTCTGTGTTC